GTATCTCCTATCACTATTGTACCGGAGAGAGTATATAGATTACCGTGACGAATACCCTTTATCACTACTAAGGAACCCCGAACAACCTTCTTTACTCCGTTCTCTGTTACTATCTTGTAACCAACGGAGTCTAAAACACCAACTGAGATAAGATTCTTCCGTAAGTCGGGAATATGCCTCACATCCATTAGGGTTCTGACCACTCCATCATGCATCTTGATTTTTATATCACCAAGCCCCATTGTTTTTTACAAGTATGGTTATTACCCATCAATAAAATTCCATCATTAATGTTTCTATAGGTAGTAAACCACTTTCCATTTGGGCACATATAGTAGGTGCAATCCAAATCAAGATCCACTTACCGAAGATATCTTCGCTACCCGTAACAACGTAGCATTCTTTATTTCTCCCTTCCTCCGAGACGTAACTCGCCTCTTCCTTGCCTTATCTTCTCTTAGTTTTATTGATATTCTTCTTCCCACCTACTCTCTTGTTAGGACAGTCAACCTTGAAATACCCTAGCTCACCGCATTTGAAACCGGTCTTCCCGCAAGATGTCTCGATTTCAATCTAGACTTTCTACCCTTGTCTTTTCCTTGCTCATTGCCCCTTCCCCTTACAAACAATCCTTGTGCTTGCTCCTTGTTACCACTAGTGGTCATATCACTAGTTACAATTTTTTGAAGATCATCCACCCAAAGCGTCGTTCTAGTCTCATCCATCTTAAAATTGTCTTCTACAAGCATCAATATTTGTACCAGTTTCTTATAAAAATTTGGTAAAAAGAGAAGTAGCAAAAGTGCTTGATTCTCATCTTCTACTATCATATCAATATCCTTCAAATCCGATATAATCCTATCGAACTTGTTGATATATTCCCGGATTGATGAACCTTCCTCTATTTTGTAAGTATACAATTTGGATTTTAAGTAGATCCGATTTGTTAGACTCTACGTCATGAATGTACTCTATAACTTTGACCACACACCCGCAGCCGTTTCCTCTTGATCCACCAAGAAAGCAACGTCCCTCTTAAGGAATAGGATAATCGATGCTCGTGCTTCAAGATCTAACTCTTCCTAATCCTCATCTGACATATCTTTGTGCTTCTTTTCTTTTCCTACCAAAGCCTTGTGCAAATTCTACAAAATCAGCCAATTTTTCATCTGCATCCTCCAATAGGAAAAATCATTCTTCCCATTAAACTTTTTAATCTCATACTTTTCAACTTTAACTGTTTTACTAACATACGTCATCCTCAGCTTGTTTCAGTAATCTACCTCTCTCAGAAAAATTCAACAAATACATTGTGTGCACCACACAATAATCAAGCATCACCTCAAATCGGAAGCTCAACCACTGCCAATCTGAATAAGGGCTCTGATACCAATTGTTAGGAGCGAGGGAAGACCACACTGCCACGGAAGCGATATTAATCCCGAGAGAATACAATCAACTAGCAATAATGAATACACAGATAAAACAATAAATAAATCAGATGAGACAACAGATTGACGTGATTCGGCAAACTTTCCTACATCCACGGGAGCCGCACAAACAGTTTTTTATTTAACCACAAGAAATTATAAAGCTTATAACAGAGAAGTTCTCAAACTTTAGATCTCTCAAAGTACCGCATGTGATTTTAATCACAAAATCACCGCTCAATTTCTCTTCTCAAATAACCGCTCATTGTAGTGAAATACTTCTTAAATCTCCTTAAGAATAGCCGCCACCAGAGAACTCCTTGAGAAATCGCGAGATGAAGTTCTGCTCATTTCGCTCGTGAATAGGGTTTCACATTTATAGGGAAACCCTAGGGCGATCTCCAGCTGGGTCCAGTTGGCTTCCACCACGCAACAGACGAGGTCCATCCGCTCTCCTCTCTCGTGCAGGCGAGGTCCACAAATGCTTCAGACGAGCTCACCCTTGCCCGCAGGTGAGCTCTCTCGCCTCGCCTCTCCAGGCGAGCTCTCTCCACGACAAGCGAGCTCGAGCTCCTTCGTCAGGCGAGTTCTTCCACTCTAGCAGGCGAGGTCCTCCACTCCAGGAGAGGTGCACTCACAGTCCGCCCGCAGACGAGCTCGAACCCCTTTCACACAGGCAAGCTCCTCGCCTCAGACGAGCTCCGACTCTCCTTACCTTAGGTTCGTTCTTCTTCAATAATATCATGAGCAAGATTGAGCTGAGTTAAATTACTATCAGAAGTAATTACACTGATGCTTATATTTTCACTCTGAATTGTTAGATTTTGTCTTTTGAATTAGAATTTCAACTGCTGTCTTTTTAGAACAACGTCTGCTCCCTTCGTGCTTAATTAAACAAATTTAGATACAATTAAGAGAAGGGCAATTAAATTTCATAGAACTCATCTGCTTTGGCTCATTTTAGCTATAGCATGCTCGTCTTTTGAAAGGATATGGATCCTCCCCACTACAAAAAAAGTAGTGGAGAGACCACTACTTTTAATCTCAATTGTTAATTATTTAGTAGGCGGTTATGTAGAATCGCTATTTGGCTCGCGAGTTAACTCGCGGCCTCAACACGCGCCTATGTGGTCGGCTCCACGTCAGAAGGCTGTTTTCACCCCGTGACCTCAATTTTTTTCCCCAACCTCGTTCTCTCTCCTCACATTAGAGAAAAATCCCCAAATAGCGTTCTCTCCCCCTCCCAACCCTAGCCCCAACCCCGCCGTGAAACCGCCGCCGTCCCCTGACGTGGACGTGACACCGTCGCCGCCCCTGACACCGCCGTCGCACCGCCGCTGTCGACACAGCTCCACTCCTCTTCTCAGCTCTCCATCCCCCCACTTAAAAACAGGTACCTTTCCTCGCTAATCCATCAAAAACCCTCTATTATCCCCTCAGCTCCACTACCCTTCCCAACCCTAGCCCCAACTCTCTTGTGACACCGCCGCCGTCCCCTGACTCCGCCGTGACACCGTCGCCGCCCCCTGATCTCTCAGTCGACACACCGCCGCCATCTCCTCAGCTCTCCATCCCCCCACTTAAAAACAGGTACCTTTCCTCTTTAATCCATCAAAAACCCTCTATTTCGTGTAAATTTCACTTCTTTGAATTGGCATATGGCGTATACAGTTTGCAATTGATTGATGTTTGCCTTGAGAATTTTGTGTAGATTACGGTTATTCTAATTTATGCACCTTTTTAGCTTTCACATCTGTAAGCTCATGTTGACACATAAAACAAATCATACAGATTGTTTGACATACATCTGTAAGCTCTATTTCGTACAAATCATACATCTGTAAGCTCATGTTGAGAATTTTGTGTAGATTGTTTGACATGCACAAGAAAAAGCTTGTTCATGCTTGCAAATTAATCACTACTTGATTCGGTCCAAGTTAACCAGCACTTGGTGATTTTGTGAATGAGATATCTACGTCTGTAAATCCAAATCCTAAACAGCAAGTGTAAACTGTGAACAGTAACATCCATGTAAAAATGTTCCAGTGCAAATGAAGACTGTAAACAGCAAGTGTAAACTGTGAATGAGATATCTACGTCATCAGCTTGGATTTTAATTAAAATGGTTATCTGGTTCTTTTACTAATCAGTAAACTTGGTCTAAATCTTTCTTCTACTGCAGAATCATGTCGTCAACATCTTCTCAACAATCATCCTCTTCTAAACGGGCAAGGTTCTTTGATAGGAGGCTATATGCTGCAATGTGGAATCGTCCACCTCCATACGAGATTCCGAATTGTTTTTGTGGGATTCCAGTGCAAATGAAGACTTCTTACACCCCGAGGCATCCGTGTCGTCAATTTGGAATTTGTGCTACAAACACTTGTAATTGCTGGACTTGGTTAGATCATGGCGAAGTACCAAGTTACGCTCAAGACTCAATGAATATATTTATTCGCAAGTTTGAAGAGCTTTCAATTGAAAATGAGAAATTGAGATCAAGAATACATAATGAAGAAAATGGATTTTGGAAGAAACATATTCAGGAAAAAGGTTTTCTACTTGGAATTTTTGTTGGTTTCATGATGTCCATTTTTCTTGTAATAATATCCAAGTAAGGGTATTGTTTATGGTTTGGACCTTGTAATATTTTACTAACTTAATTACGTATACAGTATTTGTATTTCACTTTTTTCAGTGTAGCATTATTAATCTGTTTGTAATTAGTCAGCAACAGAAACTGGTATCTGCTTGTAGTGCTAGTGCATGTTCACAAGAGTGTCTTATGAACATAGAGAACTCTCTTGTGCACGAAGCCAACGAAAACTGCCCAGATCATGCTATCGGGAAACTACCTGAATATGTTTCATTTAAATTCATATTCTGAAAGAATCAACAAATAAATACACAAATGAAAAAAAAGATAAAAACACTTTTGCTCGATCTCTGAGTACAGATACTGGAGCACAAAAAGCTTACAGCACAGGCCTGATTCTTAGTAATTCAGACGCCATAGCATGTCAATGCTGCTTTCAACCAGAACTAATTACTTAAAAGGAAAAGAAAATCAGAGAGTAAAACAAGTTTGGATGGAAAAATCTTAATACACTTAATCGATGATCTAAAATACATTTTCATATACCTGACTACTTCCAGATGGATGTCATCGGTTCAAAACTAGTCAAGTTGATGCAGATAGGCGCAGCTCACCCTATAAATATCAAGTCCATGATCATCTTTCTTAACACGCTGTATCTGCTATAGAGTTTTGACTCTACAACCGTCACAAGTATGTACTACTCCCTTCATCTTCATTTAATTACACAAACAAAACTACAGTAACAAACATATATTCATTTCGACAAAAAATATAATCACAACCAAAAATATAATCAGTCCTTCAATATCATCCAAAATTCACAACCAAAAAAGCATCAGTCCTTCGAATATCATCCAAAATTCACAACCAAAATATCATCCAGAAGTTTTAATATCATACAGAAGCATCAGTCCTTCGAATTCAATAACATCCAGAATTAAATATCATACAGAAGTTTTAACCAAAAAGCATCAGTTATTAACAAAAAGCACCCAGAATTCAATATCACGAGCCAAAAGCATCCAGAATTCAATATCATGAGCCAAACATGTCTTCAAGTAGTAATCAATTGTCGATAAAAGAGGCTTCACAACCAAGTGCATCAGGGCCCTGAATGCAAAAAACAAATATTAATACAACTTGTTACAAGAGCATAATTGATGAACATTTACCCCAATAAGCATAATTGATGAACATTTACCCCAATAAGTAAAGTCAAGCTAGTCATAACAATATGGAACTTCCAATCATATATAACAAGCCAGCGGACACATGAAAGATTAATTTGGAGGGTAGTTACAACTTGCATGATGTCACTGAAAGATTAGAGTGAAAAGATTGTTTGACATGCACAAGAAAAAGCTTATTCATGCTTGCAAATTAATCACTACTTGATTCGGTCCAAGTTAACCAGCACTTGGTGATTTTGTGAATGAATGAGATATCATAAGTTATTTTGGCTTAAAGGCTGTATATTTGGGGCAGGGTGGTGCTTGTAGTCAGACTTCAAAGGTGCCTCAAATCTCTAAAGCATCTTATTTTAGACAAATATTAATACAACTTGTTACAAGAGCATAATTGATGAACATTTACCCCAATAAGCAAATCATACCCATAGGTTTGATGCATCACATCATGTTTCTTTGATGCAATCCATACAATTGTGTCAACCCCATCGCATGTAGATCTCCAGGCATTGGAAATTGAGGCTGTAACACATCATATAAACTATGGTGATTAAATCCTATCCGTAACATAGAAAATAAAGATGTTGATATAATACATGAGACTATATCTTACCAACTGCATGGATTCATTTGTTAATTGTTGTGCCGGCCAACACATTCCCCATGGATGCACTGAATTTGGTTGTGGCATGTAAGCATTTGAAACCATGCTATCTTGTGTGTAGGAAAGAACACCCTCTTGAGACTGTGATGGATTGTTGACGGGCACATTAGCATTGAGATCATTTTTCTTCTTTCTTCGCCTACTTGTTGGCTTAATTCTGTTTTGCCTAGGCCGACCTTTCCGAGTCTTAGAGAGAGGATCCAATATGTTTTCATTTTCCTCCTTTTCATGTGTTTGTTGGAAATTTGCAGTAAAAAGACAATGAAAGAAAAATTGACTTGTATTCCTCTCAAAATCAATTACAATTCGGATTCCGATTACAAAAGAGAGGAGAATGAATTTGATTCTCCCCTTTGTTTAAAACTGGGTTCTTCTTGGTGGCGATGGAGTGCCTCCTTCGATTGATTGTGTCGAACTTGCTCTCCGTTGATGATCCGACCATCTTGATTCACTGGAACAATTGACTTGTTTGATGAATTCGGTTTAGAACTCTTGACGAGTGCAAAGAACTCAGAACGAGTTAAAAACTCTGATAAGAGTTGTTGAGAACCGAATAACTGGTTTAATGTAATTAACTTGCGTTGCAAGCCTAATTACGAACTCTTAAATGAGTTTCAGAACTCAGAGCGAGTTGAAACTCTGTAACAGAGTTGTTGGAGCCGAAGATTCGGTTAATTGCCAAGTGGATTATGCCGTTGACGAAGGGATCCTCTGGGATTTGATTAACTGATCGTTGATCAATTCCTTGATCTTCAAAAGATCTCCTCCTTCGTGCTGTTGAACTGCTGAGATTAGTTGACCTTGGGCGATTTTGATGCCAGCTCACCTCAACCCTCTATGGTTTTTACTGCCAGAAACCGATCAACCCCTTACTCAGTTGAGTAAGTCGGTTATTTATAGGGGGATTAGGGGTGTAACCAACCCCTAAATCCACTCCTAAGTGGGCGAAGATCCCTCAGAACGTGGGATAACGGTTTTGAGGCCGTTCGGCTTGTGTTTGAACAAGTCAAAAAGCCTCATATGGCGTTCTGGGCTTTAACTCTGCGTCCAAGGCTTAGGACGCAGAGTTAAATCTCTGTTGGAGATTTGAGACGCACAGGCCGCATGCACTCTGAAATTGGAAACGCACATGTCGCTGGTGCGTTGAAGTTCAACTCTGCGTCCAGAGTTTGGGGCACATAGTTGAGTCTGTCAAAGAACGCACGTTACGTGTGCGTTTTGTGCTTCAACTCTGCGTTACAGAGTTAGATGGTTGCTGGAGAATGCACAGGTTGTGTGCGTTTCGAATTTGAGAAACGCAGAAGTGAATTTCTGCGTTTGAGAGAGGTTGTTGAAGAAACGCAGAAGTGAATTTCTGCGTTTGAGAGAGGTTGTTGACTTGTAACCTCGTCTATTATGACATTGCAAAGGCCATTGCTTATTGATCTTTGCCTGTTATAAGATATGAGAGTCGTCAGATTGTAACTCTCACCATCGATTGTGAAGGCCACTGAATAGAGTTTTCATCAGCTGTCGGAAGTGTCGTCGAATTGTAACTCTTCTCGATCTGTATGAAAAGTCTCCCATTTGCCGCTTTCGATTGTCGGCGCGAAAGCTATTTGATTGTAGCTTCCGTTGTTGGAGCTTGACGGGAATCAACATCCATAGTGTCTTCTGGACGAATATTTGCCCACAGCTCTCTACCAAGCAACTCACCAACTAAGTCCAACCTTTTATTTCTGAAATTATTATACTGCTCATCAGCATCTCTCATAGTTGCTAATATAATATTAGTCACGCTGTTGTCACAGCCAGCAAGATCAATCATTTCAGAGATGAGGCCGTGTTTATAGCGGTTGCAGAGTTGCGGATGCAGTGATTAGAAAATCGTCTGATTGTAACTTCCATTATCAGGGCTTGATAGGGATCGGCTATCTATTGTGATTTTTAGACAGCCTACAGCTTCTTCCACAAAATCATGATTCATCAGTACTTCTTTTCCTTTCTGACTTGGTTCAGCAAGTTGTAGTTCTCTAAATTTGGTGTCTATCCATTTTTTAACAACCTCACATTCATGATTGTTTTGAGCAGCAAGATCAGCAACCTCACTAAATGCAAGACATAGCTCGCGATAGCGTAGTTGTTCAGGTGTGACAACCCAAGTATTAAATTTAACTTTTATCTTCGAGTGGGATCGCCTCACATCCTTTCTCCACCTTCTTAGAATGTACTTTTCCGGAAGAAAACTGACTTCGTGACGGATAAGAATGGTAAGAGCATGCCTACATACTATGCCTTTAAACACAAACATCTGACAACTACATGGAACTTCACAATCCTTCTCACGAAAGGATACTGTGAAGAATTTAGGAATCCTTTTGCCGCCCTCCAACCGCAAAGTCAAGTCCCGAATGACATACTCAAGCACCCCTGCTCCCTCCTGATAGTTTACAATATCACAATATATCTTTCCCGTGAATTCAGCTTGAAACTCTTTAAACTTTGCTAAAGTGTAGACTCCCTGAATTTGACTCTCCATATCATAAGTTGTTGCAGTAGCTTTTACTTTTGAAAATGACTCTGCATCGGCCCGCATCTCCTTTTCCGTCTTGCTTCTTAATGCATTTTCATACTGCTCAACAAACTGTTTTAGACTTGTTTTTGAATTGACATATCCATCAAAAAAAGCATTCATGCTTTCACTTCGCTGAGTAGTTGACATTCCTGCCCAAAAACTATTTTTGACAAAACATGGAACCCATCGGTTTCTCTCCTCGTACAATTCACCTAACCAATCACAATCCTCCAATCCATACATGTCAACCATTTCATTCAACTATTGTTCAAACTCTTGTGGACTTTGTGCGTCATACACCACTCCTTTCATGGTAGAACTGATGGCCTCATATTGAGTGTACCTTCCTAACTTTTCTGACAGCTTCTTCATTATATGCCACAAACACCATCTGTGTCTAGTGTTTGGAAAAACAATCTCAATTGCATTTTTCATGGCTCTTGCTTGGTCAGTTATTATCCCTTGCGGAGCACATCCATCCATGCATTCAACCCACTTTGTAAATAGCCATATGAAAGTCTCTGTGTCTTCTTTTGAAATCAACCCACATCCAAGTAAAATTGATTGCCCATGATGGTTAACGCCAACAAATGGTGCAAATGGCATATCATACTTATTAGTTAAGTATGTGGTATCAAAAGTGACGACCTCACCAAACTCTTTATAAGCTTCTCTGCTCCTACCATCTGCCCAAAATACATTTTTCAAATGATCTTCATCATCCAATTCAATATTAAAATAGAAACCTGAATTTTCTGCAACCATCCTTGAAAAATATTTCATAATCGCTGAAGCATCACCTTCGCCGAGACGTAAACGCCTTGATTCATCAACCAAGTTCCTGCAAGCCTTTTCATCACACAACAGATTCTCATATCCACCAGCCTCATGTACTAGTGAACTAAAATTTTTGTTGATTCTGATCCCGGCTTGATCATTCAGATTAATTTGATGCCTAACATGTGCACTAATTCTTTGGTTGCATCGAAAGAAACGACTTTTACTAGGGCTAAGGCCATGATTATGCTCCAGAACAACCACTGATATTTCCCATCTTCCGTCCAGATTCAACCTAGCTGTTATCTTTGCATTATACCCAACTCTGTAGCTTGCTTGTGGTTTTAAGGGATTTTGACAAGTACTATTATGTTTGCCAGCTCGACCACATACAAAAGTCATACTTCTAACAATGCCCATTTCATTCTTCCTTCTTGTATGTTTCTTAATTGGAAATCCACTGCTCTTTGCATAGTCTTTGTAAAACTCAAACAATTCATCTGGATCATTGAACTCCATCCCAATTTTAGGCTCATTTTGCTCAATCCGCTGATCAGTGTGCTGAGGCAACTCAGATCTCTCATCAACCGGGCAATTATTCAAGGCATCATCAACTACATCATCAAACTCCTCAATATCTGTCATGCCTGTTCAAATTGATCATCAATAAACTTTACAGAAAATAGTTGACAGAAACTGAACAAAGAAACTGAGCAAATAATTGACTGAAACTGACAATTAGCATCATGAAAAACAGAGATTTTATTCCATGACATACCAAAACATAATTAGTGGGGGTAGGGTGGGGCTACGATTTATTCTGTATAAGGTTAATGAACACTTGCAGTTGTTTTCGTTTCTTTTAGTTACTTCATCTTTAGAGTAAACAAAAATTTGTGACCAACTAAATAATAACTACATTATGATTTCAACTAAATCCCCACCTTGAAATTAAACACATCACTCTCTCAAGACCCACGAATTTTTAATTAACCAGTAAAATCCACAAGACCCATGAAATCGAATTAAACACATCACTCTATCAAGCCAAAATAGTTTGTAAGTAGGTTTCAATTAAACAAGATTCAAACAGAAATCATATCAAATCAGATGGAAAGAAGTGAAATTTGCACGAAATAGAGGGTTTTTGATGGATTAAAGAGGAAAGGTACATGTTTTTAAGTGGGGGGATGGAGAGCTGAGGAGATGGCGGCGGTGTGTCGACGGAGTCAGGGCGACGGCGGTGTCAAGGGCGGCGACGGTGTCACGTCCACGTCAGGGGACGGCGGCGGTTTCACGGCGGGGTTGGGGCTAGGGTTGGGAGGGGGAGAGAACGCTATTTGGGGATTTTTCTCTGATGTGAGGAGAGAGAACGAGGTTGGGGAAAAAAATTGAGGTCACGGGGTGAAAACAGCCTTCTGACGTGGAGCCGACCACGTAGGCGCGTGTTGAGGCCGCGAGTTAACTCGCGAGCCAAATAGCGATTCTGACGGTTATGATACAATCTAAATGTAACACTCACCATACCTCCATGTATTACATTCATTCCTAATTTGCACTCAAAGAAAAAATCATAACCACCAACTAGATAATCAATGGTTATGATTATGTAGTGGTCATTTTAAAACCGTCGCCTTACCCTCCCAAGTCCTAACTTTTAAAACTGTCGATTAATCTCTCCATTTTTTCGAACGTTGATAAAACTCCATAACTTTTGAATTTTTTTCAACATTCCCCGAAAAAAACTCCAAATTTTCCGTTTGGGGTCAACTGAAATTTTCCTCTGGTGGTGAACGCCGTTTGGGAATATGTTGAAAGATTTTGCGAAATTCACCCAAAAGAACCCTTTGTGACAAAAATCAGGGTGCAAACTACAAAAATAGAATAATTTGTTCATGATTGAGGCTTTGGACAAGTATTCTTGTTCAAACTATAGATAACAGAACTATAGGGAGTTAAAAGACTTGAATATATAGAACAATTTATTTTTATTTTTTGCTGTCTAACTTAATATTTTCCATAGGGTTTTATTTATGGGTTATTTCCATATATACCCCTTATATCATGGGTATTCCCAAAAATACCCCTTAAATCTTAGTATTTGCAAAACTACCTCTCAAATCATCAACTTCAGAGAAAATTACCCCTAAATTCAGCAAATTGTCAACTAGCTAGGTAAGTTAAAATTTAACTACAAATTAGCCTATTAAAGTTGATGATTAATTGATTGAATTAGGGGTCTCTTCAAAATTCGATGATTTAAGGGGTAGTTTTGCAAATACTGAGATTTGATGGGTACTTTTGCGAATACATATGATCTAAGGGTTATATATGCAAATAACCTTTTACTTATTTATTTATCAAATTGGCACAACTTCTTATACAAACTTTGTTCTATAGAAAAGCCCTTTGTCTAAAAATTGAATTTTCCACGTTGAATTATCCAAATTGGCATAACTCCTTATACAAACTTTGAATTATCCACACATAAATACTCAGTAATTTTTCTATCTAGATTTTCTTTGAGCTTTCATATATTCTCATACACGTATACATACATTCACAGTATGCTTATCTTTTAATTTGCTAAGCGAACATGCGCATCATTGAGAATGCTTTCCACGATGTAGTTATGACTTTCTAGGTGAAACTACACCCATAGCAAAAGAAAGGTTGCCCCCTCTTCTGCTTCACTTATCTTGTTGACATGAAGTGATTCCAACAGATAGAATACTCAAATATTCCCTTTTCTTTTCTGCCGAGCTGCCGCTTTCAAGTACTAAATCCAAATATATATTGGTTTTGTTGATGATCTACTCAGGGGAACTTCATTCTTTTCTTTCTAGACCCCCAAATAATACCTTACCCTTCGATTACTTGTTCTTATTCGCCCAAGAGAACCAAGGATATGAAATTAAAACAAAGGGAATAAGTTCATCAAGTATAATACAAGGAAGCACTCAGCCACGAAAGTGACTAGCTATCTAAGGAATTTTGTTTGAAGTAGCCAAAAACCTTAATTGGCAGAGAAAAGTTTTCTAGAACATAGAGTAAGAGCTATTTTAAACCTAGAAATAGCCACTAACTAATCAACAAAGAAAGAGGGAGAGCAAGAAAAGAAAGGTAGCAATACTTTGAGAGAGGTCTAACGGATAGGATTAAGGGGTTTATTAAATGAAAAAGGAAACCTACAGAACAATTGGCGAAGATGGTTTTGTACCAGATAATGACAAGTTAGGCATTATGATTGTAACATATACGCAAAGGATTGTTTTCTCTGATTGGAGAAAAGAAGTGTTAAGAGTACGTATAAGAAACGGGAGAAACAAAAACGAGAAGAGTATATAATATATATATATATATATATATATAATATATATATACTATATATGAGTATGATAATATTATAATATATATAAATATATATAGTATATATATAAACTGGTGTCAGACTTAAGTGGGATAGCAAAAGTTGTCACCAAATTTTTAGCCATCATATTGCCTAGGGATCCTTGCAGATATGAAATGTTTTTTAATATTAGATAAATGATTGTATAGTAGTTTGTGGACATCACTTAAAGTGATAGGATCGACTCATATATAATAAGAGAAGTGATTAAGAGTATAAGATAAACCTAAAAAAACAAGAGGAATAATAATATACTATAATATTTAGTATATAATATATATATATATATATATATATATAAATATATAATTATTGAGCATGGACAACTATCGCTTTAAGTGGATTATATAAAACTAAAACTATCACTATATAAACTGACCCAAAGTTCATTCATAGAAAAAGTCACGTTTGAAATGGATGCTCAATTTGCAAAGACATGTTAGTGTATACATTTCTGAGCATTTATGTGTGGATATAGTTTCAAATCGAGATGTCCGCTATTTTCTTTAGTAATTTCATGCTGGCCTACATCGAAACTGGCACATCCTCTCTCTTTTTAGTGTTAACTTATGAATAGTGATGAAACATATCTTGGTGCTCCGATCCATTCAAAACTGGGGCCTAACAAGGATTATAGTGACCTTATTTCAAAAACTCAAACCTCTCTTATGGGTGAAAACACAAGGTGCTATCACAAGCTGGGAGAATGGTCCTCATCCAATCCACTCTTTCATCCTACATCATGTTGACTTCTCTTTAAGAAAATTTTCAACGAACTTGATAAGATTTATAAATGTTGTTGGTGGAGTCATGAGCCAACTCAACATAAAACTCACTTCATAAATTGGAAAGTCTATTCAAAAACTAAAATTTCTTGAAGGACTTGACATTTGAAGTTCGCATGAAGTGAAACTTGCTCTCCTCTCCAAAGCTTACCTGACAATTGTAAATGACAAGGATGATATTTGGATTACATTTATCGCTGAAATATATCTTAGGAATGAGAGCCTTTGGACTACTTCAGCTAAAGCATCTTCGTCCACATTGTGGCACATCATTCTTTCAGGTAGGAAAGTTATTAAATGGGGCTATTCCTGGTTAATTAACAACGATAAAGTATCTCCATCTTTGATGATCTTTCTATTGCCAATAAAACATGGTTAACTCCTTAACTGGCATTGAATTTTTGCTACATATCATCTGTTGCCGACCTGATCCTTGATGACTCCCACTCTTGGAACTCTAATCTCGTCTTGGTGTACTTCGATGATGTCACAACAAGCTCCATTATCCAAATACCTATACGGTCTTGCCATCTTCTTGATGACCCCACCCGGATTTCTTAGTTTGGAATGGCCAATTCTCGATGGCTTGACCGATTTCTCCTCTAAAGGTATTTACAAACTTATTTGAAATGACTTACAATAGTTTGGATCGATCGATGTTTAATAATCATTCTCTCCATTTTGTTCTCCTCCGACCCTGTTTATGGTGAAGTTAAATGTCAACGTTGCGATGTACCCTGATCGCTCTAGTTATGGTGTTACTGCCTGAGACCATCTTGGTTTCCATCTAATTTCTTTCAACACCATTGAGTTATTAGGATCATGACACGGGACGCTATATCCATTATCCTCGTAACATGTGTCATTGTACTCCTCACCGGTCTTCGGTTCACATGCAAATATGGATGGCCAAACATCATTATAGAACCCAATTGTTTAGAATGTGTTAATGATCCAGTGTGTCATTGCCTATACTCTAGACATCTCATGAACTTTTGACAATTGTTGAAGATTATTTAAATACTTTGCTCTTGCATCTATCCAGCAGTCATGTTCTAAGATCAAGCAATATTTCATAAGTTAGTTCATTCCGTTTGCATGTATAAATGTACCTTATTGTGGCAAACACTTATCTATTGGAGGGTGTTTAGTTCTCGTTAACTCTGCTGTATACTCTCTCCCTCTTTATTTTTTTTTTTTAGAAAAAGGATGGGATACCAAACAGATATCCCAGCCAGCTAAATAACAAAATGGTTGTTACATAATATGTACATATCCCCAACCTAGGATATGCAACCAAGTTCAGGATTAACTACATATCACTGAAACTGATTTCCCAAGCTCTAACCACCAGTTAAAGAAAAACCCAAAAATAGCTGTATGATCACATAACAACAAAACAAGAACTACTAAAAGTTTAGCTGTTAAGAAGCAGCTATCCCAAAAAGATT